GGGGAAAGTTATATGGATATACAACTCCTTTATTATAATGTAACCGACATTTTGGTCCGCCAATTTCAAACCTGTTCTGCCATCAAAATATCTATCAAAACCCATCTTTTCCGCCATGTTTTCTTCTGACAAAAGTTAGATAATAGACATGTTATACCAACAACTGGTTTTCTACAATATATTGTTACACTCCGCTGCCATTTTGACTGTATGTAGTAATTGATGTTTGTGATATGTACTCTTATACCACCATTTGTGGTCTATTGAGAATAAAAGTAAAGTAATGGGCTACAGCTGGACGTGGTCGCAGGTTTTGAAAAAGTGATTGGTGACGGGTGTATCCAATTAACCTTTCGTAATATTTTCGTTTCCAGAGGAGGACTTGAAACTCGTTCAATATATGGAACTATCTACCTGTATCATCTCGTTTATAACTTGGTCAACTCATGTCAAAACGATTCAAATCGAATGAGAGCAATAGGTGACATTCACTGGGATGCAGACAAATGAGAAAAGGGCGTCAAATCTGCCTGATTTTACGATATATAAATGAACAGATTCAAGAATCTGCATATTTACAGGTGCAGTTGCATGGGCATTTCCGAATAGTACTGAGTCTAATGTATATCCATTTTGGTAACAGTACATGTTATTTCGAGTTACAGTATATATTGGACAAGTAAAGAAAAAGTGAAAACTATCCTCATTTTTACTAGTCCACATGAGCATATCGGACTTTCTAAAATGTATGTTTCATATTGTGAGCATTGAGATCACTGCAGCCAAATAAACCCTCCTACACATCTACAAAACATTTATCATGTACACACTGGAGTGAGTCGCTCCCGTCCTTCTCTATCCCCAACTAAACTCCTTACAATATATAAAAAAAGCCATAGGTGCAAAGACTAGTACCTACTAGATAGTAGTTACTAGAAGAAACCAAATTACTCAATAACTACCAGACTGGGTCTGAAAACAAAATATCAAAACACCAAACAAAAAAAGGCACCCTTAAATTCAGAATAAACCCTTTAAAACATCCCTATCCAGCCACACATTACAGTGTAAACTCGATTATCCAGACTAACTCACAATGTCAAGGCCACACACCGCACGTTTTACAACCAAAACATAAACACCGTACCCTGCCTCCCCAGCCCTACTTTTTAACATTTAACCCCTTTTCATCTATTTAGTAGACTCCTTATTAGGTTATCAGCAACAGTTGAACTGTTCTGCACAATAACTCACAATGTACTTTACACTACTTACTTAGTTGAACTTATACGCAATCAAGTTCCCAACCCTCTTACGTCCAACTTCTCAACTCCCCATCTAAACTGAAATTATTTTCAATATACAGGTGTTTTATGATATAGTGCTTTATTCCCCAAGTAATAATTATATTACGTTTTTGTTAAACACACCTATCACGTCGGTCGATGACTTGTTGCACTGTCTCAAGTAGATAGTTGGGATATGGGGACAGACAGACATATAAGTATGTAGACAAGCCATTCTTGTAGAAGTATGGGAGACGATGGCACATACATTTAGAACAATACCTTTTTCACATAATAGTGGAAATATATATGTGTGAAATAGGCACACATAAAAAGACCAGATGAAAGGCACAGGGTGTATGAAATTCCATCACTGATACAATAAAGCCCGACTGGGAGTTCGTTTGGTTGGTTTGTTGTTTAACACCGGACTGAAACACGATGTTACGGAGTATATTCTTATCCTTCATCAGGTAAATGAAGAGACTAGAAACTAGGAAGAGAAAGCTAAAGACGTACATTTGAAACAACAGTGCTAAGATAACAAGGGAAGCCAGTACTTAATTAACGCTAAATTGGTAGGGTGGATGGACAAATGGAAGCCAGGGATTGTTAATCCCGGCATGAATAATGAGATAACAATGGTAGCATTTAACAAGGGAAATGACACTAAAGAAATGCAAGCCAGGAATTAATCCAAGCCTAATTAGTGATTAGTGATAAATTAAATGATTGTTATCCTTTTAACAGACTTTTTAAGAGCGCACATTTATTTCAACGAAAACACACTCGGTTTCTGGTGTTATTGTTGGATTATTGTTTGGACAAGTCAAAGGATTAATTACAAAAAATGCCACAGAATTCGAAAGCATGTTCATTTTGTTTCTATACGATTAAACCAAATGACAATAAAGCCTCCTGTTGGATTAAATCATACGCAGGTTAGACGTCATGTGCAGACAGGGCAGAATTATGTGAAATATCGCTTTCTCGCTCTATCGCTCTATCGCTCTCTCGCTTTCTCGCTTTCTCGCTTTCTCGCTTTCTCGCTTTCTCGCTTTCTCGCTCTATCGCTTTCTCGCTTTCTCGCTCTATCGCTTTCTCGCTTCTATCGCTTTCTCGCTCTATCGCTTTCTCGCTCTATCGCTTTCTCGCTCTATCGCTTTCTCGCTCTATCGCTTTCTCGCCTTGGTATATCGCTTTCTCGCTCTATCGCTTTCTCGCTCTATCGCTTTCTCGCTTTCTCGCTTTATCGCTTTCTCGCGTAATGGTATCGCTTTCTCGTCTCGTGCTATCGCTTTCTCGTCTTGCGATATTGCTTTCTCGTCTCGTATTATCGCTTTCTCGTCTCGTGCTATCGCTTTCTCGTCTCGTGTTATCGCTTTCTCGTATTTGGGATTACACTGAAGTAAAGTACAGATTCTAGTACCTTTGTTGGGTTGAGTCCCATCCGGGATTCGAACCCACACCCTCAAAGTCAGGCGCCTAATCACCAGCACACAAAGTGTGAGGGTGTGGGTTCGAATCCCGGATGGCACTCTACCAACAAAGTAATAGAACCTGTACTTTACTGAGAAAGTGTAGTCCCAAATATAAGATATGTTACATTATAGGACGTGTTTGCAGTCTACAGAAGTGAGACCCTCCAGAAGAATGTCCACATGTAACTCAGGAACGCATCGGACGTTTCACTGGACGAATAACTGATATTTTAACAAGTTAAGAAGTCCCGGTTGCCAAGGCAGCTCAGTCACGTACCAATGTCAATAATACATACAATGTCCGCCAATATTACGAATACCGTTTTCTAACTTGGGACGACTTTTGTCCGTTGTCGACAAAGGATTACACTTTCAGGAAATAATACATTCTGCTTTCCGTGCCATTCATCTCGGACCAGCTCACATTCTCATACCTCATGTCCAAGCATACAAAGGCGCCTAACTTTGTTCCTGCTGTATAAATATTTATAAACATCACGTTTGACTATTTGTGAGCGCAATAATAGATAATATTAATAATTAGTTAGGCATTTCTATAGCGCCTTGATCCAGAAAACTGCTCAAAGGCGCTTAGTTGTATGTTCTCTTGAACATGAGGGTTTTCAGTTCAGACCTGAAACTTGTGATGTTGGAATTGTCATTTAGGGGGTGATGAGCTCCTGGATGTATTCTGGAGCAAGGCCATTTAGCGCTTTGAAGACAAACAATAGGAGGTTGAATTCAATCCTCTCCCTGATTGGTAGCCATGTAGTTCCTTGAGTACAGGTTTTATATGCTCGTACTTCTTTGTGTGGGTAATCACTCTGAGTTTTTTCCTCGCTGAAGCTTGTCCAAAATGCTGCCTCTGCATCCAACAAAAGGCTGTTGCAGTAATTAATAGTGGATGTTGCAAAGGCATGAAGAAGGGATTTAACATCTTTCTGGTTCATGTATCGAGATATTTGACCTATGTTCCTGATGTGGCAGTAAGCTGTTTTACACACCATGTTGACATGATTCTCAAGGGTCAGTTCTGAGTCAAAAAGGACTCCGAGATTTCTAGCACACGCTCTCGGGTTATTACCTATCCTGAGCTCTGGTACTGTGATGGAAGGGTTTCTGGTTTTAGGTCTGATGATGAGTAGCTCCGTTTTATCGTCGCTGAGCTTGAAAGTAGTTGATCCTCATCCAATGATGAATATCAGCGATGCAGTTGCTGATGGCTTGGAATGTGCTCTCAAAAGACGATGTTGAGAGTGGTCTGAGTCCCAGGTATTTCTGTGTATCATCAGCGTATAGGTGGAAACTTAGCTTGTGTTGCCTAACAATTGTGCCAAGAGGGGAGGTATAGATTGCGAAAAGGATTGGGTCAAGCACTAATCCTTGGGGTACGCCAAATGCCAGTTCCTGCTTCTATGACCGTGCTCCTTCGACGGTCACAGTCTGGAAACGTCCTGTTAGGTAGGACCTTATCCGCTTGAGGGCATTACCTGTAACACCGACACAATCTTCCAGACGGGTCAACAGGATTTCGTGATCTATCGTGTCAAATGCAGCAGAGAGGTCGAGAAGTACCAACACAGCAGCGCCCATGGAGTCCACAGAACAAAGAATATCGTTCTGTACTCGCAGTAGGGCAGTTTCCGTGCTGTGGCCTAACTTGTAAGCAGATTGAAGGGGTTCGCCAAGACTGTTTTTTTGCATGTGTGCCTGAAGGCAAGATGCCACACGTTCCATCACTTTTGATAAGAAGGTCAGATTAGAGACAAGCCTGTAGTTTTTGAGACAGTCCGAGTCCAGTTGTGGTTTCTTCAGTAAAGGTGTTATCAATGCTTCCTTGCGTGACACTGGAACTTCGTGGTTCACAAGTGAGCAGTCTATGATCTTAGTGATCATCAAAAGAAACGCATCTGAACAGGATTTTAGTAGTCATGTTGGTATAGGATCAAAGGAACACGATGTTGTTGACCTGAACAATGTATTCCTGAAGATTGCGAAGAATATATTTTTGGGTAACTTATCAAATCAAATCCGGAAATATCCAAAGAACTTTTTAACGAAACCAAATTGCATATTATTCTCTCAGGTAATAAAAGGACAATTCGATAAATATTGCCTAGTTTGACAAAGCTATAACTTCAAAACCTGCACTCAAGCTTTGAACAATTAATATTACTTCAACCAAATATATATACAAAAAGAGTGAAGTTTAGACATTGATGGTAATACTCACATTTGCCAACTAGAACCAGTATTATCCAACATGTGTGAACACCCCTTATATCCATGCTGTCCTGGCGAAGTGATACCTGTGAAACCAATACCACTAATTTATTACATGTGTCAGGCTCATGGCGCATGACATTTGTCACTGGAGATCGATATGTTCGGAAGTTCTGATCCATAGGTTGTGTTCCAGCGGTGCAGATCAATATTCCCAAGGAACCTGATCTCTGTATTGTTTTCCAGAGATGCAGATCGATGTCAGTGATACAAATACAAACAGAAAACCGTATTTCATTTCACAAACACGTATTTACCTTAAGCGTTAATATCATCATCAATTCGTTGAGAGATTGTTTAGTTATAGATGATGTTGCAATATGAACTGATATATTTTCCCATACATTTAGTTTAACTTTTAAGTTTATATTCAGTTACAAAATTTGGTTATGATATTTAGTTATACAAATAGCAATATACTCAGTAACATCATGAATAGCGAGTTCACATGGTATGTCGTGTTATTCAAGTGTATTAAAGTAAACTAAGTTTGTAGGTGATATATTAGTGATCTCACCAAATTGTCCAGTTAACAAATAACCTAAATAACCTGGTACACAATGAATGGTAACCCTTGCAGGACAAGATTCACACGGACAGGAGGCATGGGCGCGATGTGCACGAGGTGCTTGAGTGAGTGAGTGAGTGAGTGAGTTTGGTTTTACGCCGCTTTTAGCAATATTCCTGCAATACCACGGCGGGGGGCACCAAAAATGGCCGTCACTCCTTGCACCCATGTGGGGAATTGAACCCGGGTCTTCAGCGTGACGAGCGGACACTGTAACCATTTGGCTGCCCCACCGCCCCACGAGCTGATGAAAACCTGTGCTTATATGTATCGTGACAAACACCGTTGAACATCATTATCAGAACAACATTGTCTGCTGGGGTTTGTAATCCCTCACAATGCATTGGTGGCAGGTTTGAAGCATAGAGTCTTCACGGCGGTCCCCGCGTTAGTGGGTGTGTCGCCACATGTGTTTGATGTCTTGAGGTGGTGTAGTGGAATGTCTATCTGTAATGACAGAATGATTGTTGATAGAGGCGTCAGTCTCACTAACATTAATTAGCTGGCTCATACAGACGGGAAATAATCGAAATGGAGCGATTATTCAAAGGTTGAATACGACTATTGTCATTTATCTTATTCAATGCTACTATAGATAGGCCTCCTGACAATTGTCCTATAAGATACACTCGGAATGCATGGTTCGTCTCTACTTCATTTGGTCACATTTCAGATGTTTCGTTATCTTTGAATGCAACTTATGAGTGAACGAGTGGTTATTGAGTGAATATTGTCAGGATATCGTGGTAATGTAGTTTTTAACGTGTGTTAGCTTGGAGAAAAGCACGAGCACGTGTGTTGTTGTAAAGCCTGTGAACATAATCATCAGTTAATTGGTTCGACAAAATCAAGTTTCTTTTTCTCATAATCAGGGCTATTTGCGTTCTGTTGGATAATTAAGACAAGGTAGGACTTGTAGAAACTGGCTATTTTCTATGGCTATATAGATAACTGAATGGTGCTTAATGGATATTCCGGATTTAAATGAAAGTGTTTTTAAGTGTCATTTTCCTTCGGCATTTCATCACAGAATAAGCATTATTGATTTTTAGCCGAAGGAAATGCCCTTTAGTTAAAAAGGAAAAATATCTGTGAAAAATACATGAAAGGATCACTGAAAATCGATTGCGACACCGAGTGTTCGCGAAAATGGTAGACATGTCCTGCCCTACAGTCAGCAAGACTATACGGTATCATATATAACAAAACATTATACTGTGAAAAACTGAGAACTGCATTTTGTGGGAGGGTTGGTTATATAACGTATAACATTACATCCTCCATGTGGGCGGCGGGGTAGCCTAATGGTTAAAGCGACTGCTCGTTACGCTGAAACCCCGGGTTCGATTCTCCACATGGGCACAATATGTGTGAAGCCCCTTTCTGGTGTTCCCCGGCGTGATATTGCTGGAATATTGCTAAAAGCTGTGTAAACATTATACTCACTCACATCCTTCATGTAAAACGAAAAACTGCATTTTGTGGGAGGGATGGTTATATGACGTATAACATCACATCCTTCATGTACATCGCGAAACTGCACTTTGTCGCACGGTTGGTCTATATCGCAGATAATATCACATACATCTATAAACGAAGATCAGGAAAATCAGATATTAAGAAAAAATTAATTAAAAGAACATGTCTTTTGTACTATCGATCTCATCCATTATATAATGCACGAAAGTTATGCATTAAACATCAGACAAAGCAACCCCTGTCAGGTCTGATGTTCTGGAGTCAACAGACGGAAATGGGCTCGATGTGAAAGTCGTTGGAAGTTACTTACTCTCTGGTAACAATGCTTCTAATCCTCCTGGGGCCACCCAGTTGTTTTCACGTCACCCTTGATACGCCGCAGAAACAATTAACCTGATACCACAATACCAGACTCAGTTGGTATACGACACCCGCGTAGAGTATTGTTAAACAATATTGTGATCGGATTACACCGTTTCTGTTTAGATTAAGTAGCAGTGCCTGACACTGTGTTTCAACAATAGTCATCGGGCGGGAATCTATTACTCTCCTGTGTAAGCAGTCGTGTGGGGGCACTCTATTAGATGGTTTTGAACTTAAGTGGAAATTGGAATCTGAATTTTTTTACGTATAAATTTCTAAGTTAAGTTATTGTTAACTTTTGCAGTGGGATAGCCTACTGGTTAAAGTATTCGCTCGTCGCGTCGATGTCCCGGGTTCGATTCCCTACCATTTCTGGTGTCTTCCGCCGTGATCTGGCTGGAATATTGCTAAAAGCGGCGTAAAATCATATCACTCACTCACTTTAATTTTAATTTTGACCCATGAGTTTGTATTTGACAATATAAGGGTAAAGCTATTTTTCATAACTGCCGGACGAAGGAGGGCAGTTGAAAAGACCGAGGTCCGTTATTATAGCTAAAATGGATAGAATTTTTAATAAAATAAAAACAAACTGCGGTGTCGGTTTTGAAGCATTTACTGCACAACAAACGACGGAGGTCACCGACACACTTTTCACAAATATGGAAACGTCATAGAACAAAACAGATGACGTCACTATTGAGTGTGACGACATTCGACCTTGACCTTTGCTCATACTACCAGCTGCCATCTTCTTCAATGCTCAACAACGTTCGAGTTCCAGTCGGTGTTTTCATTGCTGCATATTGTAATTTATGGTACAAATGTTAAGGTTGGCATCGGCAAGGAAATGCATAATGGCAGAGGTGCATGTGACGAACGTGAGTCAGAAATATCGTCTTCATGGTGAGTACTGAATAATGCTAGTATCTCTAATACCTCGACTAAACTAACTAACCTGTTTGCCATGGGTTGCGCCCTGTTACGACGTAAATTGTAACAAAAACGCAAATTGTAATACTTGCAGCAAATTTTAATAAACTTGACGTAAATTGTAATAAAAACGTAAATTGTAATAAAAACGTAAATTGTAATAAAAAATTGACGTAAATTGTAATACGCAAATTGTAATAAAAATTGACGTAAATTGTAATAACTTTCGTTGCGGTAAAATGTAATAAATGTTTACGTAAATTGTAATAACAGTTTTAATCACTCGTAAATACGCGGGTGTTTGTTTTTCGTTGCATTTCATACATCAAATAAGCTTGTTAGGGCGATAACTCAAGAAAGAAAAGATGGATTTTGTTCAAATTTGGTACCAAGGTATATTGGCAAGATTCACCGACACCACTTGAATTTAGTGACCTTGAGGTCATTTTAAAGGTCACAGCGAAGGTGTAACAGTTTTGGTAGCCGCGAACTTAGGAAAGAATTAATAGATTTTGATCCAATTTTATATCAAGTTGTATTGGCGGGAATCCCCCCTACACCAATTGAAACAAAATATGCAAAAAACATGTTGTATGTGGTAAAAGTCAAACATAGATATTAAACTGCACAAACAAGCAATTTTAAACTATAATCGCTTGTTCAAGTGACTCCCCCTTCATGTTTACTGAAAGGGCTTGTTTTGGAGACAGTACCCACCCCCTTTCAGTTGACGTCATCATAAGGATATAACTCATCCTAAAGTTTTCACTTATTCATACATGGTGTCAAGGGTTCAAACTAAATACTGAATGGTCACACAAGTGTCAGCTCTCAATATGTTGTATATCTGGACACAATGTTTTTGAAAATTTAAAATGAGGGTGTCCTAAAAACAACAGTCCCCGTCTAAATGTAAATCAAGCAATCCAAATCTTTGAATGTTGATGATGACGGGAAGTCATCCAATACTATGCTGAACATATTTTTTTATGATACTATCTGAGGGTATACCATTATCCAAGAGATAGCGCAATAGTGCAGTTGTAAGACGTCTGCCTATCACGCTGAAGGCCCTGTTTCGAGGAGGCACCGAGGTTCGGTTCCCGAGATGGGCACATTTGCGTAGTATCCTTGGACATGATACTTAGATCTACACTGTCTCAGTTCACCCAGCTGTAAAATGGGTAACCGTGAGTATGTGCTGGCAATGTGAATGTTTAGTTCATTGCGCCTAACATGCAGCATGGCTGTACAGTCCCCAGGGAGTTGAAAAAGTATCGGAAACTACGATAGTGTCCTATGATCGGGGATAGTAATGTACGTAGCGCCGTGAGCAGGCAATGTGCCTGGATGTGAGCGCCATATAAGCGGACTATTACTATTACTAGATACCAAATGGGAGATCGTTTTCCATTTTCTGCAAATTTGCAAGAAACATAATACCCAAATGTTGTGATGACTAATATCTCGTTAATCACATTACCCACATGACATTTTGGATATGACTTTGCTAATGATTCCTTCAAAATAAAATGGAAGCTTCTTTTCAAACATTGGGCAACGAGAATATAGTTAGTTTGGCTACTTTTTCAACGCCCCTCGTAACATACTTAAAAGAAAAGAGAACGTCTAAGGAAAAAAGCATTTCGATCTCTGAATACTTCTGAGCTATTTAAATA